TCTGGAAAATAAGGGATCATTCATACAGAAATCAGGTCAAACATTCAAAGAGGAAGCAAGGGAAAGATGGATATATTTCCTTAAGGATATTATTGATAGGAATCAGTGCTGAGCAAGAGGAAGTTTCCCAAGGATGAAATTCTAGAAGAACATGTCTTGCTGCTATTCTCATTTAAACCTGCTGGTAATTGTTCTATAAATACATGTAGAATTGAATAATATCCTAACTGGGAAGGGAGCCACAAGGATTATCAAAACCCAACTCCTGGCCCTGCACGGAACACCCCCAAGAATCACACCATATGCCTGGGAGAGTTGTCTAAATGCATCTTGAACTCTGCCAGGCTTGGTGCTCTGACCAATTTTAGTGGGCATGCACATTTTTTTTTCCTTTGCCTTATCTACAAAAGACTCCTGCCAGCCAAGCCAGCCTTCTTCAACTGCTTGATTTCTGGTGTTTTGGAATTGCCTACTCCTGCATCCTTTGGAGGTGGTGCTTAAAATCACTGGCACTGATGGATGCCAGAATCCTCAAAAGCACTTTCCCAGGGGTCTTTACTCACTAGTTCCCTGAGCAGCCCAAGTCTGCTTTCTTCATATCCAGGCTTGAAGTTTTGCTGGCATTCTTCCCCATCAACAGAGATTTTAAATTAATTTGCTTCACTGTCACTCTGTTCAAGACAGCCAGGAAACGCCTCTTCATTCATGAGATCCCCTCTGTTTAGAAGCAACAAATCAAGGAGGCTATATTCCCTTGTCAGCTCCTACAAAGTTTTCATACAAGTGTTTTAGGAATCTTCTGGGCCTGGTTTTGTGAACCAAGAAATAAGGACAAGAGCAGTTAATTTTGATATCTCTCTTAGTCCTTCAAAGACTAACTCCCTGACATCGTTGTCCTGGCTCAGTTATCTACAGTAGACTCTTGTATATATACATGGCTCCTGTATATATAGAATTTGTGATTTCATGGAAAAATATATCTTCAACCTCAGATTTAGGTTATTTATTTTTAACAGAGCATGTCTTTTTGTTCTTTTTATACATAAAAACTCAGATCTCAGAAAAAAATTAAAGAAACAATGCATGTGAATACATTCCATTATGAATATCATTAAGTTTTGGATTATTCTAGTTTATTCATCATCAAAACAGTATAACATTTTTCAACTAATATATTTGGATTAGAAAATAAGAAAGGACCGAAACACTTATTCTCTTTAATTGCAGGGGAAGAGAAGAAAGCAATACGGTTCTGTAGTTGCCTCCAAATAAAGCTGCGATATTTACTTTTCCAAAATAAATAAAGATTCGGTATAACATAATTACTGACTTGTATGATGGCTATATGGCGCGAGGGGTCTGAGTATTAGCTGCAAGCAGTAAATATAGACTAAATTTCAAAAAGGAAAAAAATTATTGGAAAGATATACATATTGTTCTCTGCTTGTTCTGTTTGTTACCTGGCCACACAATTGCTGAAAGAGGAAATTCTGACTTGTAGACTGAACGCTTTGAAGAGTGCAGTGGCTTCCACCATGCTTTCTTTTCCATGGAAACTAGGGCAGGGTAGAAAAATTCTCTTGTACCCAGACCTCATTCATGACATAATCAAGAGTCAGTAAACCAAAGAGTGAAACAGACAAGCATAAAACTGTCCATCCAGTAAGCAGATGGAGCTGAGCACTTGAAAAGAAAGGAAGGAGAAAGAAACATGAAAATTAAATAGAAGTGATCTTTAAAAGAAATAAATAATAAAAGTATAAAAGTAATTTGAAAGACAAAAGCTCATAAAAGCAGGTTATAATTTTTTTAATTCTTTGATATCACCTTCCTAAACTTTGCAATTTTTCTTGGTCTGCTTAGCTTTTTTCATTAATAAATTACTTTGAACTTAGATATTGACTAAGTAGTGGTGTTTAGTAACTTTAAAACCCCATACACAAAGTCCTGTCATAAACAATGGTGTGTGTATGAGGAAAGACACGAGAAAAAGTACTAAGTTATCTTTAATGCTTCAATATAACCATGTTCACCTCCCTGTTCTGGCTATTTTTTCCAGAGCTTCCTAGGAACAGCTGCAGCCTGAAGTGAAAGGGCATCACGGGTGGCCCTTCCTGCTGTGTCAGTCAGAGCAAGAGGAGACCATAACTCCATTCCATCAACTGATGAGTAAAAATATGCAAGTAGAGCTCCCCACAAGATAGGTACATTCTTTCCTGCTGTTTTGGGTGGTTTTTTTTTAATGGGATTTGCTCTTAATATAGATTTTGGCATGTGACTTTTGGGAACCAGAGCTAAGAAAGATAATGGGGAGTTAGGTGAAAGAGAAATAATGCTTCATTATCTCCTCCAGGAATACCTGTAGCTGGTACCTGCAGTGTAGTCTATTAGTATTAATCGTAACTTATAATGTCATGTTGTCTTTGAGCTCAAATAACTTACATTTTACTTTGAGGGGTTTGTTCACTTGACTAAATATGGAGTTATATTGCTATATTTTATCCCTTTGTAAATTAATTATACTTCTGGTAATAAGGTAAAAACATAAGCACTAATATGAGTTTTAATGCAAGAAATGTTTTTTTGCATAGATAGATATTTTTTAATGAAGAAAAGTCAGATAAGTATGGATAAGTACTTTGGTACACAAAATTCCCAGAGACATAAATCATAGGAAAAAGGAAGAATTAATTTGGATAAACATACACATTAGGACTGTCTGCACCTGAGCTAATCACTTCAGGCTCCCTAGAAGTCAAAGAAGAGAAATAGGCACTTCTAGGTCACAATTCTTCTTATCCTAAAATAGGCATCTGAAGTAGGTCAGATGAACTGCGCCCTGAGAGTGCCTATTATCCTCTACCAACTATAAAGAGAGCCCTGGCTTATTAATTCAGATTCAATGTAGATGTTTAAGGAAGATGAGATGAGTCCCATTCAGGGAATCCAGAACAACTATTCAGAGACAATGGCGAGTGATAATTCTTGTTTTCCAGATCTATATAGGATTAAAGATAATAACATACATCTAAACACTGATTTTAGGTTCCTAAGTAATTTAGGTATTTTGGAATATTTAATCTTATTTCATGCCTTATTTTCTTTTGACTTAGAGAATCTATCAACTTTTTATTACTGTATTTCAGTCTAATGATCCATGACTCATATTCTCTATCACCGAGAAAGATGACAGCCTTCCTCAACCTTAACAGATTTTATGAACAAAAACTTAACAAAGCAAAGAAATCCACCTTTTCATCTATTAGAAAAGTCCTGTACTACTACCAATAGCTTGGGAAATATAACAATAAGGACAGATCGGCTACTAGGCTCACTAGTATAGCTTGATTTCAGCAGGAGTGCTATGAACGTTTTGTCAAATGAATATCTGAGTTTCACATCAAACCAAAATGACTTGGATTTTCTCTTCCAAATTTATGTGGAGAAATCCAAATATATTTCTCCTCCATAACTGTGACTCTGTTTCAGCAGTGAAAATACTGCCTTATTTAAGGAGTTTTTGGTTCAAATGAGAGAAGAAAACAGTAGATAACATAAAAGGATTTTTAATGAAAAATATTTTGAACCTGATATACCAATATCTTAACTACAGGGAACTATTCAGACCATTATCCACTTAAAGTATATATGGATAATTTATAATGCCTCTAATCAGTAAATAAGTAAATTTTACAGTGTCATTGAAAAATTTCTGATCCAAAAGGTTATTTTTGAGTTTCTATTTATCATAGCAAAGAAAATACTCCATTACATTTTATCACTGTCAATGTGGGTATATTATGTTCATCCTAAAAAGAAAATCTAAATGAAAAAGAAACCTAACTCATAAATTTTATCATTTTTCAAGCTGTTTGTTGGAGAGGAACTGAAATAGTAGTTTTAGATAACATTTTTTTCCCAGTCTTTGGTATCCCAAATAAGAGAAAAAGCAATGAGAATAATAGAGGAAAAATTAATAGGATTTATATCCCATTGAATTATCAGGATGCCTTCAATTGACTTTGGGCTTTTGATCAGATTCTAATGTGAAGAAATACATTGAATTACTTTGAGTGCTTGGAGCTTGCTAACAGAAGGGGTTCAAAAAAAAAAAAGAAGGAATGCTGTAGCTTTTAGATTTCTTCTAGTTCTGTCATTCTGCATAAGGATACTTCAAGCAAAATATATCTAAGCAGAAAGTAATAATGAGATTAATGTTACTTAAGTTCTATCATCTTAAAATCTTGCTACCATTTAAAAATTAAACATTTAAGTACTTTATAAAGGCTTCTTCCACACAAAATAAGAACCTCTAGAAATTATTGTGAAATACAGAACTTCTACACCAATTTTAGGTTAATCTTGCTCTGGCTCTATTTACTGACCGTAAATGAAATGTAGACATCTAGTGAATAAAAATTGCTAGCTTCTAAACAGCTAGAGGGTGGTTTTTTTTTTTACCTCACCCTTCCTGAAGACTTTGAAACCTTGAACAAATATAATATTAGCACCTGTGTGGACAGTGGGAGAGACCACCAGCAAGAAATAATTTTGTCAAGAGGAGAGAAAAAAAAATATCTCCATCACTTCCTTTAGAGAATTCAACAACCAATAAATAAACTAATATTTAAGCTACTTTAAAATACATTTGTTTAGCAATATATTTAGGGTATTTCATACTTGAATCCTTTGGACTTTTGGTTTGATTGGGTTTTGGTGGTTTTTTGTTGTTTTTTTTTTTAATGTCCCTACAGTAAGAGTATTCCTAATGTTTAACTTCCTTGTGTGGATTACTTTGGTTCTGAGTAGATTAAAGCCCAGATTTCAACCTTTGCCTCCATGGAGGCATAATGGAGATTTAAAAGCTTTGTTTTTTCATAACGGAGAGATTATTTTTATGAACAACTTATTCATTTCATACCTTAAGCTTTCACAATTTATCGTAACTGAAATGTTACAGGAGTATTGTGGTCATTAAGTGGCTTACTGGAAACAGACATACAATAACAAGAATAGATGTGTATGTAGAGGAACACATGGATGCAGAGTAACCCCCACGTGGAAGTTTTATCTTCATTTCAAGTGCTTGAAATAATGCAGGGATGTATTCTGTCCCATGATGCTGGTATTTTAATGAAGCTGGGGTATGTACTTCATACCATGACAAGTTTTCTGTGCATATTCTCTACTCAGTGCTGCTGAGGCCACACATATATCCAGTTCTGAGCTCCTTAGTCCAAGAGAAGCATGGATATACTGGAAAAAAGAGAGAAATGGGCTGCAAAAAGCATGAAGGGACGGGAGCACCTGACATATGAAGAAAGCTGAAGAGAAACTGTGACTCTGTAATCTGAAGAAAACAAGGCTCAGGGGTAATCTTATCATTTGCTAAGTGCATAAGTGCTTGAAGGGATGGTGTGAAGATAGAGGCAGGATCTCTTCAGTGATGCCCAGTGAGAGGATGTGAGGCAATAGACTCTCACTGAAATATGGGAAGTTCCACCTGAACATCAGGAAACACCATTCACTGTGAAAAAATAGCTGAGGTCAGGGTGGCTGAGCACTGGCACAGATTGGCCCAGGAGGCTGTGGACATGTTCCAAAGCCCTTCTGGACATTGCTCTGGGCAGCCTGATCTAGGTGGCCCTGCTTGAGCAGGGTGGCTGGACCTGACAACCTCCAGAAGTCCCTTCCAACTTCAGCCATCCTGTGATACTGATATCAAAACCAATGCATTGTAACAATGTGCTGAACCAGTATAATGAGACTCAAACTTTGTCAGGAAAGCTAGTTTATTCATACTGCTCTAATAATACAGCACTGTGGTCTCTCATTCTGTAAATAGTATGCTAGGAGCCATCTGAGTATATCAGCACAGCAAAATGCCTTTTTTTTTTTTTTTTAATCAAACACAGATAATCAGGACCACAGATTTATATCTGAGTATTTTAATATGACACAACACACCCATAGAGAAAATTACAGAATGAAATTGGATACTGTTAGCTAGACAGCAGATTGTTACTTTTAGGTGTTATTAAAAGAAGTGAATAAGCAGTTGGCAGAGTTATCAGGTCATCTGTCTGCATGTCTGTTCCTTCTTCTCTCCTTCTGTTTCACTAGTGTCTGTACAGTCTAGCATAGCAGTCACTGGAAATTTTGCTGTTTGTCCAATAAAAATATTTTTAAATTGTAATGAAAACTTTTATTCCCTATTTGACTGTCTCAAGTGTCCATCCTATTTTTATACCTGACAAAAATAGATTGAAATTTAATCCCAACAGTGTATTAAGCTTAGAAAAATTTCTACTCTAAAAGAAGTAGTCATCTGTGTGTTACTGAAAGATTTCATATAAGTTCTTGAAGGGATGTAAGTGGAATTCAAAGGTTTCTTGCAGTCTTTTAGAAAAGCTGGATGTAGGATATGCTTGTGGAATGAATACTTTCCATGATTTTACTGGTGCTCAGGCAGTAACACAAATCAGAAATGCTAAACTGTCAAAGACTCTTCCACCTAAGGCACCTCTCCAGATCAGTCTAAATCTATGTCCATGAGGAAGCACAGTGCATGGAAGACAAGGCTGGATTAGAAAACAAATTGAGGCGCAAATTTGATTAACACATCTAAGACTTAAATTTTATGGGATTGATCTTATTCCTCCTAAAACACTCCCATTGCTACAGTTTTAGTCTAAAAAAGTTTACCTTCTAAATAACCAAGATCATTATGCTTTTTCTTTAATATTTCTGTCTTGAGTTTAGTATGTATGGGTCTTCATTTGGAAGGGGGTTACAGTTTCAGAAATCTGAGGTTTTAGTTGCCAGATCCTTAATTTGTAAGATGATTTTGTAATACTAGCAGGAACCTAGGGGGAAAAAATGAAATCACAGATTGATCAGTAACCTTAAAATATAGAACAATAAAAAGAGCTTTTATTTTTTTCCAAATTAATTTTAGAGAATAATTCCATAGATATTAAAGCATGAAAGGTTATCATTATTTTTATTTTCTTTCCTTTATTCCTTAGTCTACTATTGCTCCCCCACTGTTAAAACAAAAAGTATGTAATCTGTTTGACAGGTAGCAAGAATTTCTAGCACACTTAAGCAAACTGCTTGGGGGAGAAATACCAAGGTTGCCCAATAATTAAAAAAAAAATAAGGTACCAGCTAGTGGGGAGGGTAGGGAATATGAAAATTCTTCAAAGGAAGCAGAGAATGAATCTTCATATTTTGAACAAGATTAATAAAGCATATATTCACATCTTCAGAGTATCCTGTTCAAAGGCTATTGAAAATTTCTCTTTCTTTTAAACCTGTCCAACTCATCTCCACAAGATATAATTTAATCCTAACATATACATATATTTTTTGCGTTCCCATCTGCGTGGGCTGGAATATCACACTATGCATTCCGAAACAGAAATGCACTTTCTTTTCTTTGCACAATCATATCACTTATTAATCACAATCGCAACACTTATTTACTGTTACTGACAGTGCAAAGAATGGACCTCAGTCATTGAATTTTTAAGTTCTCCAAAATCTATGGAATAATGAAGACAATATGGCCATACAAGCCAACAATTACTTCATGGGGAGCCTGTGTGTCTCAAATTAGTTAATTTCTGGATTTAAATTGGCCCCTGTTCCTGTTGTTTAAAGCCAGCAAAGAGCAGCACTGGCAGGAAAGCTGTCTGCCAGAAAAGGGCATTTTCAAAGTCACACAGCATGAACATCTTCTTGTCAAGACCCATTACAAGAAAAAAGTAAGTGGCATTTCAATGGAAATGTAAGGAGGGGTGTGGGAATGAGGTTGGTATTTGGGGTTTTTTTTGTTTGGTTTTTTTAAAATATTATTTGTAACCATCTGGATATGAAGTACCTGCTACCTATTCTGAGAATATAGGGGCATCTCTCTGTGACAGGAAAGCAGAGGTATGTTTGGAATAAGGAAATCTAAGTATTATATTTCTTACTTTCTTTCAGTTCTTTTAAATTTTATTTTAAATTACTCCTTTAATTTTTGATGCAGATATTTCACTTGTATTGCATTACTTTAGGTTAAACATATTCTGTGATGTGACATAATTTGATGTGACTCGACCAAACCAGATGAAAATGTCTTGTTATATCACTTATTCAAAGAGAAAAAACTGTCTGTATTTTAATTTGTTTTTAAAGCTATTCAAAAATTATTTATGAAAAGTTAAATAGGTCCTCTTATATGTCAATTTCTTACAGTCCTGTGACAGACAAAGTAGCAAGTTTACTCTAAGGTCCAGATGTAGACATTTAAAACAATCAAAATCACTGATATTATTTATAAACTTTGAATTTCCACTTAGTTCAAAGGCATTCTATAGGATATGGCATTATTTCTACTTGTTCAACTATTTTCTAAGTTAATAATCTGTGCCCATTTTAAGAAGGCTAATTAACTGACAAAAAAAATTGTAAATACAAATTCCCAGTTGGAGTTCTTGTGGCAATATCAACTCCTATAAATATAAAGATCTTTGCCCATATTTTCTACATATTGTATAAGTGTAGAGTTAGGATTTAAATATTTCTTCTAGCTCTGGCAAACTCTGTTATGAGTCTGCTGTTAAGAGTTTTTGCTTATAGATGTTCTTAGCAAGTAGGAAGGTGTTTTACAAATTCCCACAAGGTCTGTACTTTTATGTCTAACATTTTATATCATCCATCAGTACTATTTGAGAAGAAAAATGCTAAAAAAATAAGGAAAGGAATCAGTAGCTGGAACCTTACTGGCAATCAGCAGTATTGTTTCCTGGTCTTTTAATATGTGGGTCCTTGAGCATCAAAAAAATTGTATTTTCTATCCTTGTGGCTGTCCAGAGACCAGGACTGCAGTTGCTAGTATTTCTTCAGTCAGCTTGCTGGAAACACAGAGTTTTTACAAGGCATGCTGGTAATAAATGGTGATTTATAAATGCCCAGTTATTCCATCTACTGCCCAGATATGAACATGTTCCTTCCGCTACTCACTTTGAAAAGTAATTTGGAAAACACACTTTAGTGCTGTGTATCCGCAGACCCACCTCTGTCTACATGGATAGTAAAAGCAGATGAGTCTCTGATAAAGACATGTAATTCTGCTCTAGTACGGGAGATTTACACCTCTATAGAGAAATTATTTGGATTTCCTTGGTATTAATATATTCTGAATTTGCTTCCATTAACTACAGCCCTATACTGATGAAGACACAAATCTTTGAATCAACAGGTGGTGATTCACGCTCTTCAGGTTATGGACAAGCACAAGAATTCATGTTTGTCTTCACCCATCCATGCAGATCTGTTTTCCAAAGGCCATAATGCAGCAGGGTATTAATATGGCCTTTAAAGTACATGGCGAAGTTTATAAAGCATGAGGACATAGGGGGAAAAGACAACATCCAGGGGATTCCAGAAATTCTTTGTAAATCACAAAGCAGTGCTCTGAGAGTCCCTAGGCTGGAAAGTCATGAATAGTTAATTACTCAGTTAGAAGTTTTCCAGAGCCTATATCCAAAGGGTTGTTACTGAGTGATGTGGATTGAAAGATGCAGTCTGGGTGACTGGACTCCATGTTCCAGATCACTTTACTGTGATGAAGTGCAACCATGTAACATCATAATACACTACTGCCAGTGCTAGGACATAAACTTTGTCCTGAGTCTGCCCAGGATCAGGAAAAGTGCTTGTCAAGTCTGTTCTGAGTGTGTTTCTCTTGACCTGCCTCCAGGCCTCACTTGATTTCACTGTGGAAGCATTTTTCTAACTATGGATTATCAACATATAATCTGGTTTACTGTTGTTTATATTTCTGTGGTACTATAGGTCGATATATAGGTAACAAGAGTTTTTTCCAGGTAGAAAGAGATATTTCTGCCTGGAAGGACAGTATAGGTTTGCAGAATCAAAGGCACAGGATGCAGCAGACAGCGCAGCTGTGGGGTGGTAAGGAATGGGTCACAAAATGGTGAGATTGAGTAGAAAAAGCTCATCTGTGCCCATAAAGAAGGGAAGAGAAAACAGTGGATGGATAAACTAAAATTCTGGTCTGGGTCCTCTGAGGCCTACCATAGGAGTCATCACCATGTTAAAGGCCTACATCCACAGGATCAGAGGATCACAGGGACACAGAGAGGCAGGAATCCAAATTACACACTCCTGAGGAACACTCTGCCCAGGTTTATCCCACTCAGCCTCACTACTGCTGGAGCTGGGGATCTGGAGCTGGGGGAATCAGCTCCAAAAGCCTTACCTCTTTTCAGCTGCCAAATCTAACTGAGTTTCCCCTCGTACTGGAGACCCCACATGTATAACCAGCTCAGTAACGATCACTTAAAAAGTAACACAGGTCTAGATCTGGACAAACTGGTTTTAGGGGTAACAAAAGACACAAAGAAACATTATCTGACATATGTAAAAGGCACCACAAAAAGTAAACTGGGATGCAGTCTGGAGCTTCATATCATTGAAGAAAAGAAAGTTGCAAAAGGCCCTATATGTGGAAAAAGAATACAAAAATGAATTGTAGAAGAGAAAATCATAGTCATGAGCACCATGTTCCTTCGAATAGACTTCAGATGTTGGCAACTTGTTGTGATAACTCCCTCACCACCATGAATACCATGGTGAAACCACTGACCACAAAGTCAGTGTGTTTGCTTGAATTTCAGAGAACATGAGTCGTTGAAAAAAAAAAATTGATTAAAGTGTTTCTAGTTGAAGAAGGCATTTGAACATATCCAAGGAAGGAGCCTCCATGATAATCTATGTCAATGCTCAGTAAACCTGATCTTACTTTTTTTTTCACAGTGAAAAAAGTTTCCTGTATGGAACTACCTGTATTACAGTGAGAGTCCATTGTCTCTGGTTCTCTCAGTGGGCATCACTGAAAGCTTCCACCTAATGGTAGACTTTGCCTATCTTAGATTATCATGATGGGCCACCTCTGCAGCCCACACCTCAAAGACCTTGCTACCTAAAGGTAATACAAGTATTTGTGTCATTGAGGATTTGTGGCTTTTTGTTGATGCCAACAGAAGTTGACTCTTTAGTTAAAGCAGTAATTTACAAACACCAAAAGAGAAGCTAAAGGCACACACATTCAAAAACTAATCTCTTGATTAGAAAGAATATTACATTTTTTATTTTACTGTGTTTAATTATAACAAGAGTAGTATGATTATAAGCGGGTACCAACTCACACTCCTTTTGTTCTTGGGAAGTTGTGATTCCATTTGGCTCCATATAAACACAGGACTATAAGCTTTGGGTTTACATGGGTTTCAATCTGAAAATTTGATGATCTAGAATGAAATACATCAAGGCTTAAAAGCTCATATGTGAAACTCAGTGGCATAGCAAGCTCTCTGATACCACTGGATGTAATAACTTGATCTTTAGAAATTAGTGGTCAACTGTCCAAGAGATGTTTCCATTACAAAAAAGAATTTACAGTTATATCAAAGACACAACAAAAATCACCCATGTTAACTGTATGTAGAAGGGAAATAGTAATTTGAATGAAGGTGCCCAAAATATTTTAATAATACATTTTTCTGATAGTAGAAACTCAGATGTGTTAAAACTTGAGAAACAGGTGTGCAAAGTGCCTTTATCAATCCTAATGGTGGGAAATTGGCAACTGCTGACCCACGGAGAGCATTAAGAATTATTTTACTGTAGGCTGCAGGTAGCTGCTTCTGAAATACAGCATTTCTTTAAGGTGAATCTGACAGAATTTGACATGCATAAAAAATGAGTAAACAGTATGTATGTAGCATGCATCACTGTGACATTCATACAGTCTGAGTTTGGCAATAGTTTGGTTTTGTAGGCTACTTTTGACATTTAAACAGAAGAAAAGAATCTTCCTGGAAGAAGCTGTGTTTGCTTGCCAGGTATGAATACAAAGATATATATATCATTGCAAAGGCCATCCTCAGGCAAAAAATTCTGTAGAATCGTTGTTGCAGGTGACATGCTGCAGTTGAGGTATTTTGAGGAAAAATAGCTTGACCACCTGAGAAAAATATACTTTGGTCTAATGGTGAATGTTTTGATTATATGAACATGACCTTCACCTGGCATAAATCATCTGAAGCTCTCATGACTCTGTTTTATCATTTTCATTTCACTTTTTATACTATGTTTATTTATCAGGATATTACACCTTCTACTTTGTATTGAAGGCTCTGGCAAATTTTTGGTACTTTGGGAATTTTCTGCTTCTGGAAATGGTGTTCAAATTTACATTCAGAATGCATACTAATGGCAGATAAGCCCCACCCCCCCCCCCCCCCCCAAAAAAAAAAAAAAAAAAAAAAAGGTGTTCTAGTCTAACCACATATTTTTTCCTTAAGTTGAGATGATGTGTGGACTATTTGTTTTATATTTCTATATTATATTTTTCTCTAGTAATATAGTACTGTGTGTAACCTCCTGGAAATAGACTTAAAGGAGCTAAAGATTTTTACAACTGTGTAATAAAGATCAGACTCTCAAGGATTTCAATTACTCATCATTCAATAAACCAGCTCTACATGAATTTGCATGTTGCTGCATTCATATAAATCACCTCCACATGTGCAATGAATGCTAACATCCATATTGACTGCAGAGGTGGCCCCCAGATGATTATCTACAATAGATAAAGTCCATCACTGCTTGGAAGGTCAACACAGCTTCTAGCACTCAGGGAATTTTGGGTCTTGCTCATTAAGGCATTCACTGTACATACTGGCTGAGAGTGCCTTGTCTTCTTAATGAAAGAAGTTTAGAAGGAGTGTTGGCCTCTATATATTTTCTGTTTTCCAGCCTTGAAGGTAGAAATGGTCCTTTATGTGCATGTATGTGAATGGATGGATGGATGGATGGATGGATGGATGGATGGATGGATGGATGGATGGATGCTCTTTGGAGTTCTGTTCAAAATGTTTTATTTTGTTTAGTTTTGCCCATAATGATTAGTGGGTTTGAATATTCTATTTATCCTTTTGCTCATTCTGTGGTTCCCAAAACAATCAAGGTTTTCTTTCTTCTCCTTCCTAGAGGTAAGAAAACCCTTCCCAGAGGCATAAAACATTTGTCTGTTGGGTACTTCTAGTTCTTTTATGTGGCTTTTTGATTTTGAGAGATTTTTTTTTCCCTGAAGACATCACCACATGCTTCCTCAAGTCCTCTGCTATTCCAATGGGTAGCACACCTTATAGGACCAAAATTTTGGAAGAGTTTTGGCTCAACAATGGATAATTTTTTTCCTTCTTGCTCTTTTCAGATGCAACATACATCTAATAAAACGTGAGAGTGGGATGGTGGGTGCTGCTGCCTATTATTTGTTCCCAACAAACTTCTCCTGTAGAAAAGCGTATTGGGTTAACATTCAGGAAACACTGTCAGATCCACATGTAACACTCACCACAGCTGGCTCTAGCAAGAGAGGCTAGAAGGCTCCTTTTGCGAGGTTTTATTTCAGTGAAGTATCGCACGTGGCAGCTGAAGGGAATTTGGCAAGAAAGAAGGCAACCATGTGGTGCAGACAACTTCAAAAGGGGAAGGGCTGCGGGGCTGGAGCTATAGGCAGGGCAAAGGGGATTGGTCTCCAGGGGAAGGGGGACAGCCACCAGTGAGGAAACAGAGAAAGGAGAAACCAGGGGAAGATGTGAAATACTAGGATCAGTGAGGCAGAAGTCCATGTGGGAGTTTTGTCTTTTCCTCCAGGAGGAAAGAACTCTATAGTCTTTCCAGAGCAGTGGGCCTGGGAATTGGCTGAGGGGAGAGAGTTCATGGGATGCTACACTAATTTATCTGGTTCTTCTAGGAATATAGCTTAATATGTTGAGTTATATTTATTCCTCCTAATTCTTCTTCATTTTTTTGTCAATGTGCTCACTTTAGCATCTATTCTTGTTCTCCAATAGCCAACTTGATATTAACCAGGGTAGCCAGTTCCAGGGAAATCACTTGTCATTTGGGGATTTCTGTGGTGACCACACTGAATGTTCACAGAGTAATGGTACTTCGGGGAAGTGTCAGACCTAACACTTATGCCCAGAGCAAGTTGTGCATCTTTCAAAAAGTATCAGTTCACTACCATTTGTGATATGCATTTGTAGATAATGTGTGAAACTATTCTCAGCTTACTTCTGTATTGTCTTGAAGAGATGCATGATTTATGGGTTTCATTTTCCCCTGAAATAGCATACTTCTGAATAGAGGATTCACAAGAGTCTGAGTAAACAATCTGAGCTAAAGAAAAACTGCATAGAACACAAGTATTGTAAATAGATTAATTCAAGCAAGAAAGCCTTCTGAGACAGCTTAATTTGGAGTGTGAATTCTAAATTCAGAGTGAAAGTGTGTCTAAATCTTTGTTTTTCCTCCACAATTTTTTTACTTGGGTTCTAAACAACCAGCTCCCTATTCAGATTCATGAGCTGCTTTCC